CAAGCGGGGACGCCTGCGAAGCGACCGTTTGCCACCCCCGACGTCAGCAGGCGGTGCGATAAGAGCGCCACCTGCCGCTGACGCGCGAGATCGGCGTCCGACGCCAGCTGCTGCGACACGGCGGGTGCGGCAACAGGGGTTACCTCGGCTACAAACGGGTCGGACCGTAAAGCGGATGGTCGCTGGCGGCCCAGCGGCAGCGAGGGGGCCATCTGGCGGTCGGCTTGCGAATGGCCGCTCGGATCGGACAGGCGCGGCGGGAGGTGCTGCGAGTCCACCCGAGGCGGGTGCACGTGCGGCCGCCGGTGAGGCTCGTGCGACTGCGGCGAGGGGGGCGAGCGATCCACCTCTACTCTCGGCTGCTCCGCGTCGAACCGATTCATTCCGTCGGACCGACCTCGCTCTGCGTCCGCCTGGTGGGCGGATGGACGCGCGACATTTTCCTGGGGTGAGCGCAGCGGAAACATCACAAGCAGCGCGGCAGCCCTTCCGTCGACGCTCAGCATTTGAGCCCCGGTGAGCGGAAGAGGGCATGCCGAGGCGCGTCACGTGGACGAATGCCGGGCTTGCATTCCAGCTATGGACGAGCGATGCATCTGTGCTAGCATTTCAAATCAGCCTCGCCTTACACAATTCCCCAAGACCAAAACGATTCGACTGTTGGATCTTGATTTCAACACACGCAGGCAGGCAGGGAGCCAGCGAACGAATGAAACCCTCATTGCTGCTCTCTGCAATTCCCCCTCCCGCCTCCCCCTTCCTTCTTCCGCAAGTCCGCGGAAGGAGCGCTGCCCGCCCGCCCGCTGCGTGCTATCCCTGGCCTCCCGCGGTACCCCTGAACCGCGGGGATGTCCGCCAACTAGTTTCTCATTTTCGATACGCGAGCTGGTTCGACGTGGTTGAGAGCGGTAGAACGCGATTCGGAACAGGGGTTAGTCTGAATAAGTGCAAGACATGGAATTTACTTAAAGCCCATGTCCCAAGTTACACGACGCGGTTGGTTTTGCTAGCAAAGTCGGGGCGCAGAAAAAAGGGTAACCCCATTCACCCTGGAGGGAATTGACCAACTCAGGGCAGGGGTCAAAGGGGGCCATGTGATTGGTCGAAGCCAATCAACGACAATCGCCGAGGCCCAAGCCACAGCCCTCTCTCTCCCTTGCTCCCAAAAACGACCAAGGGAAGAATGATAGCAAATCTGTAAATTGGGACCCAGGAAAAGCCATTCTCCCACTCGTATTTTCCTAGTACTATGTGCCCCAACCGCACGCGTAGGCAAGCTAGGTCACGGCCCGTCCATACGGAACGCGATCATGCGTTCATTTAGGGCGAAATAGGGTCGGAATAAACCTCTTCCCGCCAGTCCGAGCCTTCCGCTCGTAGGCGGTCCCTCGCGAACCGCTTCCCGCTTTCTCATGCGTCACGCTACCCGCTTTCCCCCGCTTCTCGCTTCCCGCTTTCCCTGACTCCCCGCTTTCCCTCGCGTCCCGATTTGCGACGCTTCCGATTCCCGCTTTGTCTAGCTTCCGCTCCCCGACTCCCCTCGCTGACCCGCTTCCCGCCTTCTCCCTCTACACGCTTTCCCACGCTTCCCGCATTCCCTCGCCTCAACACTTCCCTGCCTCCCCTCGCTTTATGTCGCATCCAGCTTACCGCGCTCCCGCGTCCCCGCGTTTGATTGCGAGTCGCTCCCTCTGTATGCTCCAGGACCGTTTTCCAGCTGCCCGCTTGCCCTCCCTCCCCGCATCTCGCTTTCCCAAGCTACCCGCTTCGCGCTTTCCTACGCTTCCCGTTTTCCCAAGCTCTCCCGCTCCCCGCTGCCTCTCGCGGGCTCACTTTCCCTCGCTTCCCGCTTCCCGCTTTTCCTCGCTTCCCGCTTCCCGCTTTTCCTCGCGGCCCGCTTTCCCACGCTGAGTGAAGAGTGAGAGCAGGGAAGGGCAAGTGGCGACGCAGCAGCGAACGGAAAGAGGCCCGCTGCGGGAGGGGGAGAGGAGGGAGCGCAGGGAGGGGGAGAGGCGTGAGGGCAGGGGAGGGGAAGAGGCGTGAGGGCAGGGGAGGGGAAGAGGCGTGAATGCATGGGAAAAAGTGAGGGTTGTGATAAGGAGAGGGATAGCGGCGTGAGAGCAGAGAGGGAGTGAGGCGTGAGGGGAAAGGAGGGAGAGAGGCGAGAGCACACGGGAACGAGAGAAGGGGAGGGAGTGAGGCAAGGGGGGAAGGGAAGGAGAGAGGAGTGAGAGCAGGGAAGGGAGAGAGGCATGAGAGCACGGGGGAAGTGAGGGGTTCGAGCAGGGGAGGGGGAGCGGAGTGAGAGCAGGGGAGGGGGAACGGAGTGTGCCACTCCATCCTCCCTGTTTCTCTCTCCCTCCCTCCGTGTGTGCGTAGCTGTCGCTGGACGTCCCTTTGTCACGCTGAAGAAACTCACTCAAGGTGTTGACAACCCACCCTGGCGGGAGACTGCAGGAAGGAAGTTAGAGAAAGGCCCTTGGTTCAAGTTTATGAGCTTTCTGTTAACACTGGTTTGAGTGTCCAAGTTCAATGCACACATTCGTTTTACAGTTCCTCAATCGATCCACCTCCCTGCTGTTTCCCTGCAGCCTCGTCACCTGGTGGTGGCTTTGCATCACCAGCACGCCTTCAATCTCTTCATGACTCATCATTGCCCAACTCCGCCGTGGCCTCTGCCACATTGAGTTGAACACTATCGCGCGCACGCAATCGTGGCTGGGAGGAGGGGGGAAGTGAGAGCTGGGAAGAGGGTGAAAGTCAAACACGGACAGAGGGGATAAGTAGCGAGTGAGGGATGGGCAGCGAGTGAGGGATGGGCAGCGAGTGAGGGATGGGCAGCGAGTGAGGGATGGGCAGCGAGTGAGGGATGGGCAGCGAGTGAGGGATGGGCAGCGAGTGAGGGATGGGCAGCGAGTGAGAGATGGGCAGCGAGTGAGGGATGGGCAGCGAGTGAGAGATGGGCAGCGAGTGAGGGATGGGCAGCGAGTGAGGGATGGTCAGGGAGCATGAGAGCAGGGAGGGAGTAAGAACAAGGGGGAAGGGAGAGAGAGGGGGCAAGAACACAGGGAGGAAGAAAGCAGGGAGGAAGAGAGCAGGGAGGAAGAGAGCAGGGAGGAAGAGAGCAGGGAGGAAGAGAGCAGGGAGGAAGAGAGCAGGGAGGAAGAGAGCAGGGAGGAAGAGAGCAGGGAGGAAGAGAGCAGGGAGGAAGAGAGCAGGGAGGAAGAGAGCAGGGAGGAAGAGAGCAGGGAGGCAGAAAGCAGGGAGGCAGAAAGCAGGGAGGCAGAAAGCAGGGAGGCAGAAAGCAGGGAGGCAGAAAGCAGGGAGGAAGAGAGCAGGGAGGAAGAGAGCAGGGAGGAAGAGAGCAGGGAGGAAGAGAGCAGGGAGGAAGAGAGCAGGGAGGAAGAGAGCAGGGAGGAAGAGAGCAGGGAGGAAGAGAGCAGGGAGGCAGAGAGCAGGGAGGAAGAGAGCAGGGAGGAAGAGAGCAGGGAGGAAGAGAGCAGGGAGGAAGAGAGCAGGGAGGCAGAAAGCACGGAGGCAGAAAGCAGGGAGGAAGAGAGCAGGGAGGAAGAGAGCAGGGAGGAAGAGAGCAGGGAGGAAGAGAGCAGGGAGGAAGAGAGCAGGGAGGAAGAGAGCAGGGAGGAAGAGAGCAGGGAGGTAGAGAGCAGGGAGGAAGAGAGCAGGGAGGAAGAGAGCAGGGAGGCAGAAAGCACGGAGGCAGAAAGCAGGGAGGAAGAGAGCAGGGAGGAAGAGAGCAGGGAGGAAGAGAGCAGGGAGGAAGAGAGCTGGGAGGAAGAGAGCAGGGAGGAAGAGAGCAGGGAGGAAGAGAGCAGGGAGGAAGAGAGCAGGGAGGTAGAGAGCAGGGAGGAAGAGAGCAGGGAGGAAGAGAGCAGGGAGGCAGAAAGCACGGAGGCAGAAAGCAGGGAGGAAGAAAGCTGGGAGGAAGAGAGCAGGGAGGAAGAGAGCAGGGAGGAAGAGAGCAGGGAGGAAGAGAGCAGGGAGGAAGAGAGCAGGGAGGCAGAAAGCACGGAGGCAGAAAGCAGGGAGGCTGCGCTGGAATATTTCCCAGCAGCCTCCTCCACGCACTCCAGCCTCCGTCCTCCTCACTCCATTCCTCAGCTCCTAACTGTCCTCACCCCCTACTTTCCCCTCCTTATCCTCCCCTTTCCTACCTCCTCTTTCTTCCTCTCCTCTGCATCCCCCTCTCTCACACTCCGCATCCCCTCTCTCTCGTCCCGCATTCCCCTCTCACTCGTCCTGCATCCCCCTCTCTCTCGCTCCGCATCCCCCTCTCTCTCGCTCCGCATGCCCCCTCTCGCGCTCTGCATCCCCCTCTCTCACTCTCCGCATCCCCCTCTCTCTCGACCCCCATCCCCCTTTCTCTCGACCCGCATCCCCCTCTCTCTCGCCGCGCATCACCCCCTCTCGCACTCTGCATCCCCCTCTCTCTCTCTCTCTTGCTCCGCATCCCCCTCTCTCTCGCTCCGCATCCCCCTTTCTCACTCTCGCTCTGCATCCCCCTTTCTCTCGCTCTGCATCCCCCCCCTTCTCTCTCTCTCTCTCTCTCTCTCTCTCTCTCTCTCTCTCTCTCTCTTCTCTCTCTCTCTCTCTCTCTCTCTCTCTCTCTCTCTCGCTGCATTCTCCCCTCTCTCACTCTGCATCCCCCTCTCTCTCCCTCGCTCTACTTCCCTCTCTCTCTCGCGCTGCATCCCCCCCTCTCTCGCTCTGCATCCCCCTCTCTCTTGTTCTGCATCCCTCACTCTCTCTCTCGCACTCAGCATCCCCCTCGCTCTCGCTCTGAATCTCTCTCTCTCTCTCTCTCTCTCTCTCTCTCTCTCTCTCTCTCTCTCTCTCTCTCTCTCTCTCTCTCTCTCTCTCTCTCTCTCTCCCTCCCTCCCCTCCCTCCCTCCCTCCCTCCCTCCCTCCCTCCCTCCCTCCCTCCCTCCCTCCCTCCCTCCCTCCCTCCCTCCCTCCCTCCCTCCCTCCCTCCCTCTCTCCCTCTCTCCCTCCCTCCCTCCCTCCCTCCCTCCCTCCCTCCCTCCCTCCCTCTTGTGCTGTGCTTTGCTCGTTAGCTCAGCGGAAGACATTACACCTTGTATTGGAAATGTCCAAAATGACAAGGATAATAATGAGTAATACGGGCATATTTATAGTCTAGGAAGTATCTATTCGGAATGTACTTGTTCGAAGTGTATCACGACTATTCGCGCGACATGAATAGTGACTGTTCGTGTGGCTGAGAGTGGCGTGACCCTTCGGGTGACTATACGCGCGAACCTACAGTTCACGCGTTGACTCGCTACTGCAGACGCCATCACTCGCGTCCTTCCATATGAGGTATCGCGCTACTAGTACAGTCGAAATGTTATATCAGGAATGCATAAGTAAACTCTGTCGAGTATACTTCAACACTCCCCTTCATTCCTTAGTGTATGTCTCTGGGTAAGTATCACCTCGTTTGCAGATTCCAACCAAGCTGGAGCAGTATTGAAACTTGCCGCGTGGGAGTTTCTTTGTCAGAAAATCGGCTGTCATTACTTCTGTAGTGTAGTATTTCAGGATGACCTTCCCTTTGAAGATTTCTTCCTTGACGAAGAAGTAACGGAGGGCGATGTGTTTTGTCCTGTTAACGAAGCCGGGCTTGTTTGCAATCTTGATTGCGCTATGGTTGTCGCAGAGAAACTTGAAGTTATGTGTCGTTGCGATTTTCGCCTCTTGAAGTAACTCTTGAAGATAGAGTCCTTCTCGAACAGCAAAGCTTGCTGCGACGAATTCTGCTTCGGCTGACGAAATTGCGATGACCTCTTGTTGTTCGAAAGAGATAATGATTGACTAGTGTGAGAAACCTAGAACATGTACCTGTTGGGGTTGTACTCACTAGAAGCACACACCTAGGCTAGCCTATAACTTCTACATACAGCATATGTATAAGTTGACACACTCCCTAGGCTAGAGAAGGGGTGGTGCTAAACAAGAAGCACACATCTCAAGGTGGCACTACTAGTCCAACCACTGAGGTAGGGGTCCTGAGACCAGTCAGCAAGAGTACAAGCAAGACTAAAGCAAGCCAGGGCGGCACTACTAGTCCAGCCACTGGAGGTAAGGCCACAAGGCCAGTTAGACAGGTATATATAATAGAGAGTACACAATCAGGGTCCTAACAGGTGAGTAGCTACAGGAACAAGACCAAGCTGTACACAGTGCCGCTGATGACCTTTAGGCGCAAGTGCCTTAGTAAAGATATCAGCTGTCTTGGCACGTGAGGCCAAGTGAACTACGCGGGCCTGGCAACGCTGCTGTAGCTCGCGCAGGAGGAAGTACCGCAGCTGGATATGCTTCGCTTTGCCCTCAAGCCGAGGCTCCTGACATAGAAGAATCATGGCCCTGTTGTCAGCGTACACGACCGGGGCAGAGCTAGGCCGCTCACCTAAGTCTGTGAGCAAGAAGGTCAGCCAACGGAGCTCCTGTGCCGCCATGGCACCGGCGTAGATCTCAGCCTCACAGCTGGACTGAGCAACAGACGACGAGCGAGTGGATCTCAAAGAGATAGCACCCGAACCAAGGCTAAAACAGTAGCCCTGCGACGACCTGAGTGTCTCTGAGTCGTCTGCCCAAGAAGCGTCTGTGTGCCCAGTGAGGACCACTGGCATGCGTCCTCCTAGCACTAACCCCATGCCTGATGTACTTGATAGATATCACAAAACCCTCTTAGCGGCCGACCAGTGCTGTGGTCGGAGTCTGCCTGTAGCCACAAAGCGAGCCAGGATGCTGAGAGGGTATGCGAGATCTGGGCGAGTGCAAGTCATCAGGTACACGAGGCAACCAACCAGCTCTGCGTAGGGGCCGCTGGGCTCTACTGGCTCCTGAAGAACGGGAACGGAGAGCCCATGGTTTACAGGTAGAGGTGTGGGCTGTGCGGAGGAGAACTGAAGACCGAACCTCGGAAGGACCTGACGCACCAAGTGTGACTGTGTCAGAGTGATGGTGCGTGCTGCTTTGTCCCTAGAGATCTGTAGGCCAAGATAGCAACGCAGCTCTCCAAGGTCAGTGCAGGTGTGTCTCTTCAGCAGCTCGGCCTTCACGGAGGCCAGTGCGTCCCTCGCAGCAGTAGCGAAGACCAGGTCATCTACGTAGACAAGGATGTAGAACAGAGTCTGGCCGGAACGCACAAACAGCGAGGGGTCAGCAGAGGACGGAAAGAACTTCAGGTCTGCTAGCATGGCACGCAGCATGTCGTGCCACTCGCGGGGGGCCTGGCGCAGGCCGTAGACCGGGCACCTGAGAAGCCACTGGGTCCCAGGGGGGAAGGTACCAGTGAAGCCCTGTGGTCGACGCAGGTAGACCTGCTCGTGTAGGCTGCCCTGAAGAAAGGCAGTGGAGAAGTCGAGGGAGTGAAGCTCGTAGTCACGCTATGCTGCTACGTGTAGCAGCGCCCGAAGAGTGGTCATCTTCGAGGTCGGGGCGAGGTCTGAAAGAAGTCAACCCCCTCCCGCTGGCTGAAGCCTCTGGCCATGTAGCGCGCCTTGAAGAAAGGCGGCTCTCCAGGGGGGCGCTTCACCTTGAAGAGCCACCGACCATCGACTACGTTCACCCCAGGCGGGGGAACCGCGTCGATGTAAGTGACAGCGACAGCAGCGACAAGCGTGTCAAGGCGCGAGACAGGAACAGACAGGTCGGTAACAAGAGAGGCAAGAACCCGAGGGACAAGGGGACGAACGCCACGGAGGTAGTCAGACAGCGGAGGAGGTGCAACAACAAGCGACGAGGGAGGAGGCGAGGGGAGGAGGGGAGGACGAGAAGAGTGGGAACGGAGCAACATGGGGTGGGAGCGCAGGACAGGAGAGACGGGACGAGCACATGAGGGACGGCGGGACCAAACGTGGGACGGAGGTGTAGGGTCGGGCAACAGCGGAGGGGACACATAAGGGGGAAGAGGAGGGAGACGGGCCGGAGGCGAGTCTGGCTGCGGGAACACAGGGCCGTAGACAAGAAGGTGAGAAGGTGGTGGGGGGAGACACCGACGAGCGGTCAGGGGAGGGAAGGCCGAGCAGGCGAAGAGCGGAGACCGGTGGCGACGGCTGCGGCGGCTGCTGCGGCGGCTGGTGCTCGACCCTCGAACCGGCTGGGGCACGACGACCGCCGGGAGAACACTCAACAGCAGCACCCCAGAACCAACACCCCCAGAGCGAGAACCCCTCCAGCCCCAGCGGCACCCCCAGGCCCGCCGAGACAGACAACGCCAGGAGCCGCAGGACGAACACCCTCCTCAACGCCAGCACCCCCAGAGGCCAAGAGCGGCAGCGGCGGCGGCGGCGGCGACGGCGGCGGCGGCTGCGACGGCGGCAGCGGCGGCGGTGGCGGCAGTGGCGGCGGCGGCTGCGACAGCGGAGGTGGAGACACCGGGGAAGGGGGACGCGGCAAGGACGGGCCGGGGGAACCACCAGAGTCAGCAGACTCCTCAACGCGGACAACCGACGGGAGGGGAGTGACATGGGAGACACCAGACGGGGCAGGACGAGGCGGGAGGGGAGGAGGGGCTACCGGGGGAGAGGGAGCAAGGAACAAGGGGGGGGGAACCAGGAGACCGCGGTGAGGGAAGCGACGGTAGAAGGAGACAGACTCGTCAAAGGTGACGTTACGAGAGTGAAGGAAGCGATGAGACGGCGGGTGGTAGAAAAGCCAGTCAGACAAGTCAGGGGGGAAACCGAGGAAGACACAGGGGACAGTGCGGGCAGTGAGCTTGTCCGTGCCAGAGGCACGAACGTGAGCAAGGCAGCCCCAGACGTGGAACGCAGACGCGCCACCAGGAGACCTGGTCAAAAGGAGGGTCGGCGAAACCTGCGGCCGCTGGGAGCATGGCCACAAGTTAAGCTGGTGAGCAGCGTAGCGAACAGCGAACGGCCACAGAAAATGGGGGGCATCGTCATGAATCATGGAGGTACGAGCAACCTCCATGACCAAGCCGATGCGGTGCTCAGCAACCCCATTCTGCTGTGGGGAGTCCGGCAAGGTGTACGACTAGGTGATGCCCTCCGCACGACAGAACTGTCCAAGCCGACCAGAGGCGAACTCGCCGCCACGGTCAGAGTGGAGACA